TCCGTCGCCCTAGCAACCCGCGCAGCAACTGGCCAATGCCTGATGAGCAGCACAGGACCTGGTCCCACCCAGAGTACTACAGTGAGGGGTATGTATCTGTACATCGCCTACATCTCTGGTCAACTGCACAGAAAAACATTTAAAACCTTTAATTAGTCAAACTTTCATAACACGTCCCTCTTTTTAAAGGCAGACAGTTTTCTACCAGTCTCTTCATTTCTTAGATCTGGCGATGTAGCAGTGGGCAGTACAGTATGTCTGTGCCAGTCTTGCCTTTAAAAATCAAACCGATTTTCAAAATATGAAAAACAAGATGCACGTGTATAAAATCCCTGAGGCCGTGTTTCAGGATTTTGTTTTGGGCAGCAGCGTAGTGCTGAACTGTCGGAGGATTATTCAAAGCTCAGTCTCATTGTTGTGCACAACAGTGTTGAGCAATGTTTTCATTAAATTATTAATGTGGAAGCTATCATCGATATGTGAGACATTTATCACGTTAATCATGAGTGTTATCATTTTAATTCAGCGCACGAGTGTGAGACAACACCATCCTGCTTAGTGACTAATCTGAGAAAGAAGTCAGATGTAAACAAGCAGCCTTTATACTGCAGTGGCATCTCACTTGTAAAGCCCGTGCAATAATGTAGTTAATGAAAAGGAGTTCACTTTTTAACCACCTTTATACAGCCATGAAATAGGACCAAGAGATCGTCTAGAACTTGATATATGTAGATATATTTATAGAGAATCAACCGTTATATGTAAACAAAAAAGCTAAAAAAAAAACCAAATGTATCCCACTTTTAATAGATGGCTAGATGTCTTTTAGTTTTACAAATCAGTGAAACACAAAAGAGGAGAAGTCAATGTTTACAATTTCATACACAATTTCTTACATTTTGTGTCGTCAAGGTGTTCAGACATCATGAAATAAATCTGAACCTGTGATATCTCTTGAATACCACATTATTGAGAGTATAACGGGAACGGTACAAACACTTCGATCTTCCTGTTTGTGTCTTCAGGGAGGCCGTAAACAACAGCTGGTCAGCCAATCAGGGGGACTCGGCCAGCTCTAGCGATGAGACGTCTTCAGCCAATGGTGACAGCCTGTTCTCCATGTTTTCTGGGCCAGACCTGGTAGCTGCGGTTAAACAAAGAAGGTAAGTCCTAAACTCGCCTTGTCGGCTTTAAGAGTGAAACGCAACATTCAAACTGCACTGATAATATCATAAAATGTGATTCATTGGATGTTCCACACTCAAAAACAAAACTAAATAGTGATTTTTGTCTTTTTTTTGTGGTCACCCTTTTTACTACACACTTGTTGATGATTATTGCATAGAGGACGATGTGTAAGCGTGGCTGTGTGAGGAATACTCTTGCTGTACAGTATGTGAGTGCTAGTAAGGTTCAATGTAAATTTCTCTGTTTTCAGAAAACACAGTTGTGGTGAGCCGGAGGTGTGCACTCTGCCCTCACCACCACTCCATCACATCGGCGATGATAACCAGGTAAAGTGTTTCGAGTGCTGAGCGTGGAGCTTCTGTTTTTAAGTAGTGCTGACAATTTGGAAACTTCTTGTGCTAAAACTGTGTGAATATGCTTATTTTTAGGGATGCACAGAATAGATTCTTCTTCCTGGGCCGGTACAGATGTTTTAAAAATAACAATTTGACTGATAATCCATAGTGTTTGTTTGTTGTTATTTATTAACCCTTGATTTGCTAATAGGCCAGTGTCAGTTAACAAGGTGATTATCGGTATCACATGTATATATGTATTAATACGATAAATCTGTGCATCCCTGGTTTCTGTCAGTTCTGGAATTAGGAATTTTTATCCTAGTTTTAAGGGTTTGGTACGACCTTTGATTGGTTATTGACCTTTTCAACTTTGCTGATGTTCCACAGGACAGCAAAACTAAAACCTGGCCTCCCAAAGCGCCGTGGCAGCACTCCACCCACACACACACCAACACCATGCCCAATCCCAGCTCTTCCTTGTACCAGATGAACATCCCTCCTTCCTCCCAGTGGAGCGACTCCATGCAGATGTTGCAGTCTCCTGTGTGGTCCACTGCCAGCGACTGCTCCCCCTCCACCGGCATCTCCTCTGGTTTTCCCTTCACCCAGCAGCAACAGCAGCAGCAGCAGCAACACAAACCCATGACCAAGGGCTTTAAATCCTTTCCCCTCAAACACGAGCACAGGCCCTCCTACCTTCACCAGTACTGATTACAGTCTAATGTGGAACGAGTCCGCAGTGAAGTGCCACTGAGGGCCTGTTGCTCTGTTAGATGAGCCACTGTGTGGGCCGAGCTGCAGCCATTACAGTCCACACCCACTGAATTAGAAGATTTCAAAGCGTCAGAGGCAAAATTAAGTATACACACTGGCTCAACATTTTTGTATCTATATTTTTCCATGTCAAACATCCCCATTTGAAAAAAAAAAGAGACGTATTTTGAAGTTTTTTGAACTGCCATGTTTTAACTACGAAAGGCGCATGTGTCATGCTGACAGCAGTTAGTCTAGTGGTCGTTTCTCTGTCTGTTGAGCTGACGTCTCCTCAGACAAGAGCTGGAGACGTGCACGGCCGTCACCCACTTGCTTCTGCAGCTGAGCGTGTGTGTGTGTGTTGTGTTTGTGTGCGTGTGTGTATGTGTATGTAAAAGAGGGGATTACAAGGGGGCAAGGGCTTGAAATGCTCTCATTTTGCCCATAATAAATATACTGTGTCTACATAGCTGTAACTGCCAAATCTCACGCAAGATGACTCAGAATACAGCTACCATCTACTGTTTCATAGCTTGTAAAATACTGAAGTTGAAATATAAATATTTAGTTCTTTTTATTAAGAGGCTTTGAGCAGGCTCAGCATAAATATAGTAAGTCACTGCAGAGGTGTAATTTGAGAGAAATACACTACTTTTTCAACAACTGACCAGAGATAAGACATATAGCAGTAACAATGTGCCATGTTGGTATTGATAGCACTTGCAGAATATTATTTCCAACCAAAGCGTTGTTCAGAAGATGAATGGTGCTGATGAGATAAGAGGCGGTCTGAGATTATTGATAAACAGTGAAGTTATACACCCTATTGGACGAGAGCTTTAGGGAACATCTTCACACCCAGAAGCGCATTCATTTCCTCCTCTCTAATTGGCGGTTGTTGCTCCAGATTGACACTAACTCTCATAAACCTAACTTTTCTTTTGTTTAATAATACAATATTTTTCTTGTACAATTATTGACAGTATTAATCTTATTTTTGTATTTTCTTACATGTTATACCATTACTGTATGTTAGTATTCTTGTAGGCATATACATAAAACATTATTTTCCACCTCCCAATATGTGAAAAAGCACATTTTTTTCCTACAGAGTTGAACTACACCATCTATCTATAAAGGTTACCAAATATGCCATGCTAAACACTAAAACATTGTGTGATGAGGGTTTTTTCGAGCCCTTGTTTCTTCGGTTTCTATGGCAATGGGCTGCATTTAAAAGCCCAGAATGTTATCTTTTTGTGATGTTTGCGGATGCCAATGTTGCCTGTATTTATGAAATGACACCATGTTTTCAGAAAACTAACATACTTAACATGTTTACAGAGAATTGTTTGCTGTATATACATATAAATATATATCTTTTTATAGTTAATGTGCTTTGCACAATCAAGATATAGGGTTTGTTGCTTTTTGTCTGTGTTCTCTCCCTAACTGTTGCAGCCTTTTTTAAAGACATCATTACAGACCTTGGACTGTAACTGTTAGCTTCTCAGCTGTGTCAAATGGTTTACTAGTGGCTTCTACAAAAGAAAAAAAAAATAACAAAAACATGTTGCCCTGGTAGAAGATATGAAGGGGGACTGCTTGGCTTATGTTGCTTATTGTTCTCTTGAGCTGGCAACTGAATCTTTCCAAGTGTACCAGCAATGCAAAAAATGAATAAAAATGACTAGCAATTCAAAGTGCCATCTTTGTAGTTTTTCTGCTGTAATGTCGCTCACTTTCCTTCTAAAGACGTTCAGACTGACCTCAGCTCCTGCTACATTTAATCAGGTATCCTGTGCACTGATATGTCACTGAACTGAACCATTTCAAAAACTGACACCATGAACAACTCAAATCAAAAATATAACTTTTAATGAGTCGAACAAAATACTTTTTACACAATAAATATTCATTATACCTGAATTGACACATCAGTGATCCTGGAATGGACAACACTGCTGAAAACAGTGGTTATTATAAATATATTTTACAGTGAAACATTAATGTCCCTCAATGCCCATTCACAGTTGGTGTCGAGGCTGCGGTTTCATTGGCTGTAGCCTGCAAACAGAAACAATAATGGAGTATTAGGTATAAGCCACTAGTTCTTTATTACTGCAGCAGTTACTCATGCACTGTATGCTTTGTCTTTACAGTTGAAGAGGGGGGCATGTTGTCTGGGCTGGCATCAGCTATGGTTGCTAGATAGACGATGTTGCGGTGCAGGATCTGTTGGTATCTGTAGGAAAGACACACACACACATTATTGTACAATGTTGTATTATCCACATGCATTATACATTCTATTACACATGCAGTTGGCGGAACTAGCAGCAGATCTGTGAGGACTGTACTGACTTACTGTACACACTCCACTGCTCGTCCTTTCTGCATGTATTCAGAGATGCATCTAACCAACTGGTCGTTTTCATCCAGTAACTGCGGCAGAGCAAACACACACATGAAGCAACGACACGAACACACTGTAGATAATAAAAGGGCTTCCACTGATGAACGAATAATGTTGTCCAGCAAGCATAAAGTCACGCTGATTGTAAACAAAGTGAATTAATGGATGGTGAAGCTAACAGTTAGCGGCTAACTGCTAACGCCCCATGTTAATGTGCGGGAACATGAGCTAACTGCTAACAGCTGCTTCGTTAGGTTTCATTTACTGGAGTCTTACCCGCTGTATTGTTTCTTGGTTAATTTTCGCCTTCCCTCGTAGTTTCTTTGGCACAAAGACAATCGACATTGTTCTGTAGCCGCAGTTATTGAACCACTTACAGCTGCTTCTTCTTCGTGGTTGTACTGATGGTCGGAGGTGGGCGGGATCTTTGTTGTTGTACCGCCATCTGCTGGAGAGCCGTAGTCTAGCAACCCTGAACTAAAAGATGAATGTCTTACCTCTCTAATCATATTTCTATTGTAGATGGGGACTGTTATTTAAAGACAGATAGTATGAATGTCAACATGCTGAAAATGCTAATTCATTTCTTTTTCATAATATGGATTATTATCTTTACTCTGTTCATTGCCCCAGAGGATGAATCCTACACTCAACATGGTACAGTCTAGAAATAATAGGATAACCTTTTGCTTTTTTAACACTCCATGAACTGAACTTTTGTGCCACCCACAGGCCAAAATGCCCAAACTGACCCAGGACCAGGTGTGACCCCTCTCATACAGTAGGAGGAGGAGGAGTAGGAGGTTTTCGTATTTTATTGTAATGCAGTTGATGATAACTCTTCCAACCACACTTGTTTATTGTCTGGATACATATTACATTTAACTATGGCTCTGCTTCTTTCTGTATTATATTACTGTGTAGGGAACGGGAACAGTGCCACCCACCCAATTAAAAATAATCTTTCTGATTTAAATAATTAGATGCAGTGGTTGTTTCTTTTCACTCGCTTTGATTCTGTACATATTGGAAATACATGGTCCCAAACACGCTCGTCACCGTCATATTCTACTCTGAGAACGGCAACACAAAGTGCTTATGCAGTAAGTGGACCAGCAGGATGTTGTGTAGCCTTTAGTTGAATTTAAAGAATTTAAAGCAATGTCTTCTCGCCTGCCGAAGGACGCTGCATGTTCACCAAATTATTTCAATACGTTTAACACACAAAAAACAAGTGGATTATTTGAAGGGGAGACTCATATGCTCAAAAGCATTTCTGCAAAACTTTAAAGAACAACAACGGAGACGTGGATATTGTACAACTCTTTATTTTACTTAAAAACTCCATTTTGCTGATATTCTCAAGAAAACAATTCCTGGTTTACAATTCCAGTGACTGGAAGGAGTAACAAACATATGAAAACATGTCAGTTTGTAATAGTTCGGTAATATGTTTGGTCAAATTTTCCTTAAATTCAAATCTCGCTGGTTATTGCGAAAGCCCATATAAAGTGATGGTTCCTACGGCTATCATGCAGTGACCAGAAATCTGTGCAATATCCAGTTAAACAGCACATTTCCAAGCTGGCTGCTTTGTTCTGAACAACCACAGCTACTGAGAAGGATCTAGTTTCACCTTGTAGTGCTATCATTACTTCCGTCAAAACGTAACCTTTAAGTTAAAGGGAGAGCTGTAAAAAAATTCAACACTCTGAAGGCAAAAGTACTGTTAAGTCCCTAAAGTCCTAACAAATCAGAGTAAATAGAAGAAAAAAAATATCCCACCTCCCTCCAACACACTGGCACCACATCCAGTTCTTGTCCCTTTGTTCACAAGTCGGTAAAAAAAAAAAATTCACTCCAGAGAACAATCACATTGACAACAATGCAACAAGAGGAGCTGCGAACAAGCGAAACAGTGGGCTGATCGATCAGAAATTTAGCCATTTGTATTGAACGTACGTTTTGAGACATCATTCAATCCATATACATTTTCCTATTTTCAGTAAACAATCCTTACAACACTGCAAGTGCTTAGTTTTGCGGTGGAAACAGCTGACTGTAGAGAAAAACAACACGGATGACAACTTTAAGACAATTCAAAAGGTATGATAACAAAAAAAAGAACATGCTCTAACGAACGGCTCAGTATGTTTTTGGACAAAGAAAGGTAGATTGAACAGGCGCTAAAATGTGAAAACATACTTATGGGCTGTCAATTATTTTAGCTCAACCAAATGCTCACGTTCTTTTTTTGGCAAAATAGCAGAGCATTTTTAAATCCAAATCCAACTTGTTCGAAGTCATTCTGACTGCAGGTTTTGACTGAATCAACTCCAGGACTTCCTTTTCTAAGAGCTTCTAAAGGCATTGAGAGTAATGGATGTTCTTCTTTCACACACACACAAATCATGGGAATGCTCTTTGTTTAGTCAACTATATAAAACAGACCCGTCAAAAAAAATTATCTACAGTCAACAAATACTTCTAAAGCTAATGCTGTAAACACCACATATCAATCATATGACTGGTTCCTACTGATCGCCTGTGTTAGGCTTTCATTAACAGGCCAACAGAAGTTCACCTACAAACGGAAAGCAGAAGCAATTCATCTGATCTGGGAGGTCTGATGCATTTCTAAATACTGACTACACATTTCTTAAAAATCTAAACTAAAAGTCTGTCTGGAGAGCCACAATTTGCTGGGGGGCAGTAAGCCGAAGATGAGCAGGATATACATTCGTTTGTTACAATTCAGATTTTGTTTCTTTCCGCTGGCTTTGATGTCACTACTTTATTGAGAAATTTACGGATGTCCGGAAAAAAAAAACACAACAAAACTTCCTGCAAACTGGGTAAAATACTGAACACATGGCAACCAACCTAAGTAAGTTCGAGCAGAGGAAAATATGATGCAACAGGCAATGCAGTGAAATTTGGTGCCAACATACATCATATCAAAAACTGAAAGAAAATAAAAAATAAAGCTATCGATCACATGAACTGTGATCCACTCACAGTATCAGTGGGCTTTCTGAGTACAGCTTTCAATATCAAAGACAACTTCAGTAAGAAATGAACTTGATTGATGCAAAAATACAGAATTACTCCAAAGCAATGTATTTACACATGTTCTTATCAATCTGGTGACTGGGGCAAAAAACAAAAAGCCTGTTTCTCAAAGTGGAGAAAAGGGAGCTGCACTCTAACCCCCTGATGTAAAGCAGTCGACCCTGATGCTGGTGACTGAGAGGATGTCTTCATTCTTTCTGTCAAATGTTGAGACCAAAGAATTTCTTTTCATTTCATGATTAGGGGCTACAATTCTTTGTGGATCCATCGCTGCAGTACTATGCAGCCACCTTGTTGTCCTTCTGGAAAAAAAACATAAACAACAACATAAGTTTAGGACAGCAATCCATCTTTTTCTCCATATTACAAGAAAGAGCCTACTGCACTTACACTAATACTATACTTCAGAGCTCATAGAGCAGATGGATTTACCCTGTATTCAAAATCAGAGAAATCCCGGCCTCCTCTGCCACCTCTGAATCCGCCTCTGAATCCAGGTGGAGCACCGCGGGGTGGCCCAAAGGAGCCTCTGCTCAGGGGTCGCCCTCTGCCTCCACGGGGCCCCATGTAGCCTCGGCCACGGTAACCCCCTCTTCCTCGATTGTGCCTCAGAGGGATCCCGAATGTCTCAGAATTCATTCGTCTTTCTTCTGCCCAGGTCGACCTTCGCTCCCTGACACACACACACACACACAGAAACAGATCAGGATTAAAGGTTTAAAAAGCTTTTTAACACATCCTGTACAAATGTATTTAAGTATTTATGATATGTAGAAAATAACATTGCTTTGTCTCCCTCTCAGTCTTTATGTGTAGAACATTACAAGTCGCTAGTCTAGTTTCATAGTTAACAAAAATCCAGATCTGTTCAACCTTCCCCTCAGTGTCAGCGACATGTGGAGCCTTCATAGAATGTTAGAGGTACATTTAAAAACTATAAACCAAATAAATAAAACACAAAGTGTGTGTCTTTGTATGTGTCTGCTTATTCTTCATAACCTTCATCCTGAGTTTTGGTCCCATTCACCTGAGGTGCCTCTCTCAATATAGCAAGAAAATATGTGACTTACCTTGAAAATCCTCTTTCGCCCGATTTACTGAAAGAGATTAAAACAAGTCTTTCAGTGTATTAATAGAGCACAATTCATGTTTAAATCATTGCATTAGGGCTTATGTTCATTGTATAAAGTGATATAGTGAGGAGAGAATATTTCACATAATAAAAAACAGAGCCCCTTGATTTGTTTCAATAAAGCCTTTACGGAGGACCGTTCGTCATGTGGTAAAACACTGTTAGCCAATCACGTCCAGGTAGAACACCTAGTGGCACACAATGTGTCATATCTACTGTTTAACTTGCAACCGCTGAGACAGAAGAGCAAATTACTGAAGCCAGGATGACTTTTCAGAGTCAAGTGTGAACACCGCTTTAAATGTTAGCAGTTGCAACACAAAACAATGCATTTGTCTCCAGAGTCCTACAACCGAACAAGAGTTTAAACTGTGGACATATTGATGTACCTTAAGTCATCACAGGACAGGTTATCAAAGAAGGACTTGGTCTTGTCATAGTAACATGGGTTTATCACAGCCTCCTCCTCAGTGGCCCCCTCAGTGGCTGGATGTTCAGAGTCTGCAGCTTCTTCTCCATTCAGCGCCTTTTCAGTCTTGTCATCTGAGGTTATGTTGAAAGACATTTTGAAAAACATGAAACACCTTAAAGACCATGCAAACATTTTACTTCCACCTTACATTTGCTTCCGATTGCAAACCTGTTTTTTCACTGGTAAAATGGTGATAGGATAAACAGAATTCAAACAGTGTTGCTCTTTACAAATATCAATAATTGCCCTTGTCATACTGAGCTTCTCTGAAATTATGATTCACTCACACATTTTGGATGATACACACTATGTCAATGAGTGCATCTGCATATTACACCATAATGGAACTGATGAAAAATGTCCAGCACTGGTGAAAAATAAATGCAGTGCTTGTTTTCTATTTAGGACTCCACTGTGTTGAAGCTGTACCTTTCAGTTTGAGCTTGTTCTGGAGCTCTTTGTCAATCTCATCTTTGTGGAACTGGGCGTTGGCAGTCTCAAAGTCAAAATCTTCTTCGAACTTCATGGGGCCATCCCTACGCACGTTCACTTTGCCTCTGCTGCGGTTTCCTCTTCCACGGCCGCGGCGGTTGGACTGAGCAGCAGCTGAGAAACAACAGGGGAAAAGTCAAATCCTGCAATGTCCCAACAGGTGACTCTAGGCCCACTGTGCCGTCAATAATATTGGCACAATGTGGCATTAGCTTTGTACTAGAGCACCTTCTATTTAAAATGAAACTTTTTGTTAACATCCATCTCAAATTAACAGTGTAGGGACAGCAGCCCTTTCAACCCATCCTCCCCAATAAGTGCCAAAGTGATTGAACAAGTTAACATAAACTCAAAAACAATATTTTAAAATGTAATATTTGGTTGTGCAGTATGTGACTGGCTCCAGTATACAACCCATAGATATCAGAAGACACCCGGTGGCTTTCCTGTTGTGCACATTTACACCTCCAAACCCTTAAACGCTGATCGTCAGAAGGTTAACGTTACTGTTCCACTACATTCAATCTAATGTGTTGGAGCACACAAACAGAAAAGTGAAAAACGCATCACTGTCCACATATGTTTTGATTGCACTGCAGATACCTTAGGTGATGGAATTAAAATATGATACTAAAAAGATAGATTAGTCAACATCACTTTGAGGGAGATGTGAATATAAATTGTGTTTTTTTTTCTCACCCCAAACAAGACATTTGCCTTGTGAGCAATCAGACTGGGAAAAAAAAAACTAATAACTTAATAGTGTTTTATATAACAGTAAAACTGTAAGTCCATACAAGGTAATATTACTTCTACTGCTGACACAACTAACAAAAGCAAACATTTCAGTGGCTGTAATTAGGTGTGTTAATGGGTTTTACTAAGTGAAGGTGTAAAACTACCTACCAGCAGCTTGATGCTTGTTAGGATCCCGGTTTTCAACTGCACCGTGTTCGTTATCTGGCTGCGACACCTTCTGAACCTCAGGAACTGAACAGCAAAAGACAACATTTACCATCAGTTTAACTCAAAGTGGTACGGCTCTACCTCGGGACTAACTGCATGAGCATGCAACTTTCAGACTACTTTAGACACATTATAGATTCAGAAAACTTTTATCTTTTTGAAATGAACCATTACAAGCCCAGCAGGTATCCTTACCTTTTCTCTGCTCCAGGAGGTCTGGGGGCTTCTGGCTGCCAGTGGGTCTGGGAGCTGCCGCCCCCGTCTGACTCCTCTGTCCTACAGGTGCAGGTGGTGCTGGGGCAGCTGACGGTGGGCCCTGCACTGCCTGCTCCAGGGCAGGATTTTTTGTCAAAACGTCCAGCTGGGGACTAGTGCGCCCTGTAATAAACAGCAGAATGAGATTAAAAATTTTTTTTTTTTTTGAATGCCGAGCAGGAAGCGCAGTTTGTCTTTCAGCAGCTGACAGAGGCAATCAGAGTTTGATTATATATCAACATTACATATAACATGATGAGAATGTGGCAAAATACCTGGAAACAATATATATATTTATTCATTTAATAAGGCCAATGTCCGCTCATTGGATGTGGAAAGCAATGTAATAATTTGACGACGACAGAAATTCAGTCTATATATTTAGCAAGAAAATCCCTGACATATCGTTATAAACACCTCCTCCTTTGAGCACTTTAAAATGTCCAAGCTTCAGTTGAACAGTTTATTAAAAATGTGGTGTATGATTGTCTCCACAGATCCCAGTCCAGCACATAATGGGGTTCAGGTGTACAGCAGGAAATTTATGAGACGACATGCAGCTGTGCTCCGTTTGAATCAGCAAGAATCAGGTGAGGCTGATTACCTTGAGGAACAGATTCCCTGTTTACAGGGCTTGTTGGAAAATTATTCAATTGTTTGAGTGGTCATTAGAAAGGATTTAGGCAGATCACAGCAGTAAATATTAAAACCAATTCTGTATATTAATCTACTATACCAGTTTTACTTCAAATTCAAATGTACTTTGAATGCAGAGTTGGAGCCAGGAGATATAAGTGAAATTAATATTATAATAGATATTTGTGCCCATGTGACTCATACAGGCATCAGAATGCTATACGTCATGTTAAATACACAAATGTTCATTGTGATGAATTGCATCTTGATTCTTTTCCATCATGCATAGACAGTCAATATAAATATTATTTATTGTCTATATGTTTTAATTCATTCAATTTTTTAAACAAATTACATTATGTATAACGTAGGTTTTAATTGGTTTCTCACATTCCCGACAAGCACTGCTTTAATTTATTCAAGCACAAAAATCGCTTGTGCCTGCCTCGTCACTTGAAATGGTGAATCATCGAAGATAAAAATGTGTTGCATTTATTTTTGTCACACAAATAAATATCACTGTGTGGGAACAGGAACCATTGGACACTTACTCTGACAGAACAAATCCTTACCTCCTGCTCCAGCAGATCCAAACTGTTGAGCTGCATGGGCTGTAACACCAAACTGACTGTAAGGTGGGGCAGGGGCCCTGCTGCTGAATGGAGCATAGGGCCCAGCCGACTGGAATGATGGTGGTGCAGCAGCATTGGTGGTTCCAATTGATGACTAGAAAAACATTTGAAAAACCATGACAACACTGAGTGTCAAAAACAGCTCTTTCACACAAATTCACATGGAATGAACACATTTTTCACAAGATATGAATGTGCAGTTGCAGTTCTGAAACATTACTGACTGTCACACTTGCAAATGTTCATTAAAAAGCTAATGCACTCTAAAAAAAATTGAAATTCTATTAACAAAAGCTGCAAATATAAGACATTTAATTAAACCCATTTTCCCTGCTGTGACAAGTCAAAATGTGTGCCATGTAAGAGGTCTTTTAGAGCCGGGCGGGGGGTGATTGGATTGTGTTTCAATCTAGTAGTAGTTTTGACAAAAGTCTTCAATTGAGATATTGTGGTTTGGAGTTCTAGTGTCTAAATACACCAGAAGTAAAATGTCATGAAAATCTGTCAGTGAGCTGTATTTGGGAAAGGCCATGGCCTTTTCTCACAGCAGACATTGTGACTTACCGTAGGTAAAGCACACTAACGACATTAAATGATTGCTCTCTACAACTCAAGTGCCCCAATTAGCCATGACAGTGAACCTAAGGACATGACCTTAAAATGTGCTTAACAAAGCTTTGCTTGGACTTTTATTTAAAAAATAAATACTTAAAAACAGAATATATGACAAACTGTAATATTTTTTTATATATACACATACAAATCAACTTACCTGAACTATGGCAGGGTCCTGAGGCAGGCTGCTAGTGGCTTGGGGTGGCTCACAAACAGTTAGGTCTTTTATATCACTTCCTCTGAAGATGATATACTCAAACACTTCCTCCCGAGGTGGGATCGGCCTGTCAGTGGGCCGGTCCTCAGTTCCAAAAGAGCGAACTGTTGGAAAACAGGAACATTTACAACGACTTTAATCACACCATTAGTCTTTTTTATTGAGGCTGAACAGATTTGTGCTTCCATGTAAATGCTTGCACTGGGCAATATATCCACATTCAACACTTACTGTCTACCACAGCAGTGATACAGTGTACTTTTTAATACTATGAATAGTGATACACCTTTTAAAAAGTACTGCATTTCATCCAAATTAAAAACAAAAACATCTCAAGGAAATATTCAACAAAAGCACTGTAAATGAGCCAGAGTTAGGAGACCTGTGTGGTCAGATGTTAAAAAGACATCCAACAATACAACGTAACGTTAATAATAACCACGCCAAACTACCCTAAGAGTGACCTTTAAAGAATAAACTATAACCCGCAACTACCAAAAACTTTAGTAACACTTGATTGATATCAACAGTGGATTAACTTTATTTAAAACAGGGTAGCACTTGGCACTGAGCAGTGAAGGACACACATTTCACAGTGTAAACAAAGGACGCAGAGTGTTAACTACAGCGCCACTTGGCTACGAGTTGGCTACAAAGCTAACTCAGCTAACAAAGCTAACAGCGCTGACTGCTCATTTCAGTTCTCTATTCGCTGCACACTCGTCCAAGCCACGTTTACAGCCTTTTCTAAGTACTAAGGTTGCTTAACTCACCTTTAGCAAGAGCTACTGTCGAGTTTTCAGTGTCAATGGTGTACAGAATTCCTTCATAGCGAATCCCGGCCTTGGAGATTAGGCTAATTTTGCTGCCAATGTACGGCGTTCCTCCTCCGCTCATGTTTGTCTTCTGGTTTCAACAACAAACTTACTGCCACGGAATCTGCTCTCTGGGTCGAACGAGTGGGCCGATGTGTTTCTTTCAGAGCTGTAGTTGTAGTTGTAATGCTACATTACACGAAGTAGTAACTTACACCGTCACTCGCTGTCTCTGGACTGATTTCTACCACGACATGGCCGATTTCATTTTCCTTCGCCCGCCGCTAAGGATGCTGGGAGAAAGGCTGTGCCTATTCTTCTAAAGTCGCCTCCTCTTCCTCCTCTTCCTCCTCTTCCTCCCACTGCCACCCCCTTTTATTGCAGGTTAAAAAGGGGGATTTGGCGAAAATACCGTCAAATTGTGAAATGTCGAGATCGCACATGCAGTTTTGTTCGCTTTTACGAATAATTTTTGAAGGAAGACAAATTAAATCAGTGAATAATAGGATGTTTAACAGAGATTTGAGATTCAGCCACGTTATGTTATCGCGATATTACACAGGTTGGAGTCTCTCCACTGGAGAATACCTTTATATAGAGAGGAAACATAACGTTACATACTAATATAACGTAACGTTATGTTAGTATGTAACGTTACTATATATATATATATATATGTATATATATTATATATGTATATATATTATATAACGTTACCGCATCGTTTGTTCTTGAAACATAAAACGGTTGGGTGTTCCGCATTAAAAGTGTGCCGTACATAGTCGGACAGTAACTACACTGTACTTACACTATTTCTTTATTATAATTCGTTAAATTGAACTTATTAATAATCATGAAGAATAAAACTAGGACCCCCCCCCCTCCTGTAATGACGTCAGATTCATTCCCACAATGCCCAGTAACACGCAGGCGCACTGTAAAAACAATATAAGACAGCTATCTGTGATCAGAGATGGCGGGCGCCTCCGACCCCCTGGAAGATATGCTCTTTTCAGAGGTGGATGAAAAAGCTGTGATCGACATGGTGGGCTCATTGGAGTCACAGCTTGCTGGCCAAAGCAACCCAGCAGGGAAAACAGACGAAAACGGAGCCGCTAGCTCAGTGGCCCCCGCTAACCATCACTTAGGAAAAACGCTACCAGCTCCAGTGGGCACCACAACACTAGAACAACAACAACAAGGACGGCGTAATAAACCTGAGATGCGCCAGGAGATCAACTCTAAGGACGGTAGCCCGGACAAGACTGTCACCTCTCCCTCCCCGGGCTGTACTCCTGCTTTTGGCGAGCCCTCCACCACTTCGGCTGCCGGTGTGAACGCCACCAGCAGCGGTTCGCAATCACATGGAGCATCCATCACAACACTGACTGCATCTGGGGTGTCAACTTTGGCTTCTTCGCCAGCCAGCATCAGCATCAGCACCACATCCAGCCGGGGGTGTAAGGTTACCCCGGGATCAGGTGAGACGTCGGCGGAAACCAGCCCGCCGAGAAAACGCACAACCGCACCGCGGAGGAGCGCTTCGGCTCGGATAAAGAGTTTGAACGGCGCTGCTGTAACGACGAGGAGGAACAGCAACACAGCGGGGGCTGATAGCGTTAGCCCGGTGGATACCAGTGCAACTACACCTAACTCTACCCGACCGGTGACATCCTCCATCAACACTTCGACTTTCACCTTATCCAACGCTAACCTCCCGGTTGGTCAGTCGGCTATCGCGCTCGACCGGGGGACCCCTACCATCGCTTTGCACAGACTCCCGAGTCATATTGTCGCGAGCATAGCCCAGAACGGCAGCGGGACCAGTGTGTCGGCCTTGGTCCAGCAGGGCTCTCGTATGGGACCCATCACCTCTTCAGCCCCACAGGGGAACCACAGCAAAACGGTCACAGACACTGGAGCGTCCAAAACAGACGATTGTCAGTCCAAAATTGTAATGTCAAGCCAGTGTGGTAGTGTCAACTCTGTCATAAACACTGTTCCCCCTGCGCCTTCTGTTGTCACACCACCACCACCAACAACAACAACAGCAGCAGCAGCAGCAGCGGCTACAACAACCACAACAGTAACCCAGCCTTTGAGCTCTGCCACTGCTGCTGCTTGTGTTACAGGGGTGGCGACGAGTTCTGCGTGTGGAACTGCTCAGACTACATCAGTGACTACCACTCTTAGCATGGTCAGGCCCACGGTCCCCTCTCCAACACCTGCTGTGGCCACCTCCGCACAGTCTCAACCCCGTCCTGGACTTACAGCACCTCAAAGGATCGTAGCCCCCCAGCTGATTGTCAGACCACCTCAACAGCAGACGACCATTCAGCTGCCCCCTGGGTTTACCATCCCACCGGGTAAGGTTTGCAGGAGGGGGACGAGAGCGGCCAGAAGGTGCTGTTTACACCCTGGGTTACGATGACCTTACCTGTGGCCCGTGGGTTTGGTTGTCAGTAGGATACAGTGTTTGTTTGACCGCCTACAGTATGAGGATTGAGTGTGTGACATCCTGTTCTCCTACCATGTTTATCTGAATGTGTTGGGGAAGCTTTGCGAGTTATCCTGTGTACATATTGTATATTGTCTGTTCCTGTTCCTGAGGTACAATATCCCTCTTCGATACATGCTGTCATTCATAGCAGCTGCACTGTGACTTTAAGCATGGCTACCTGGGGAATCAAACACACTGCTGGGTGCCGTGCAAAGTATTAAATATACACCAAGCATCCTTAAGAGCACCATCACACAACAGTAATTAGTTAGTTCATTATTAGTTGTCAAAGTTTATATGAGTTTACCGTCAGGAGAAGACAGAACTCTTTCCAATGGAAATCATGTAGACTTGTGAGTACCAATATATTCACACACTATATACAGTGAACAAGATGCCACATCCATAAGCAGGCATTTGGGGAATGGCAGCTACTCTCATGTCTGTCCCCAAAGTTTCCAACATTTGTATTCTTCCTCATAGGATTATGTAATTCAACAGTACGGTAGAATTACTTGAATTATGTTTAAAATATGGTGGCCCTTTTTACACTTTTCAGTGTTGAATAATATTACTGCTGGCTGAAATAGGCAACTTAATGAATGCAGACCTGTTGCCCTCCACACAGAAGAATCGTAGAATTTGTATTTGTGTGGCTCTTCGGTTGCTGTAAAGTTGCTGATATACAGGGAAATGTTTTTTTTTTTGCAACTGAGATGGGCAAGCAGAGCACTGTCAGTGGATAGATTGTGTTTCAAAGTGTCTCAGAGGCCTTATGTAATCATCCAATTAACTCACATTGTAAACATTTATGGTTGCCCAAAGAAACTAGCAGACGTAAACTTGATTTCCCACTTTTTAAAAATCCGGGTGGTGTCTAGATCTTCTCTTGGATTGTTAATTTAGGGTAGTAGCATTTTAAGCAGTGTTGTCATGCAATGAAATAAACCATAATACATGATGGGTTGTCCTGATATATGGAAATAACAGAGGAGGGGGAGTCTGTTTTTTTTCCCCATATTAGGATGCCTCACATTTAGATCATGGCCACTTATAACAGAAGGTAACAATTATTTTGTGTGGAGCCAGTTTAACACATGGTTCGGTCTGTTTTAGTCATGGTGAGCTTCACTTAAAGCAAAGCACTGTTGCTATGGTTAACTGCAGATTAATATTCCTTATACACTGATACAGAACAGTGGTTAAACGTTTGACTAGGACAACTTGAGGTGAACTGTTATACGATTTTACCAGACACACAACCTAATTAATAGTTTCAGCTTGTTGCCATTTACTGTGGGAATCAATTGATCTCATTTGCCAACTTTTTCCATTCTTTTCTGTAGTCTTGAAGTTGTGTTGAAGTGGCTTTGCAGGTTAAACATTGCATTAACACTGGCTGCTTGTTCGGAGTATTTGTTTTTAATCACTATTTAACCTGCCTAAATTTTAGGATGCAAACCTCCCTTAGAATGATACCTGGTTATTTGAGCATGGGCCAGTAGTATTCCCAAACCTGTCATTAACATTCAAAATATATCTGCATTTGGCTCGTAGCTGCCTTAAAAACCCTTCAGTGATTATGATGTTGTCGTGTTTCCTCTAACGAATTCCCCTTGTGATTCTTCAGGGATGGTGTTGGTACGAACGGAGTTGGGCCAGCTAGTGATGGTTCCTCAGCAGGCTTTGGCTCAAGCTCAGGCTCAAGCTCAAGCTCAGGCCCAGAACAACATCTCTCCACGACCTGCCACCCCGACAACAGGAGCATCATTCAGAGTAACAACTCCACAGGTGAGCTACAGAGCCTACATGGTAGCTGCCACCTATACACCTTTATTAGTTTGACCACAGCACACAGTATTACTGCACCGTAATGTTTCCTCACAGCTAGACAAGTACAAGAAGAGGAGAGGTGAGACGGGTTAAATACACGGGAGATATCTGGCTGTGTACCATGGTATGCCTGGTTTTGGCATTTATCAGGGCACACAGCAAAATGGGTTTTATTTTTATTTTTGTTTCCAATCACAGAACAGATAATGGATCATCTGATTTGTACGTCACACACAATGGGCTTTATTCGTAAAACATTCCTATGCAGAGATTTAATTTTAAGGTGGTGATTTTCATTTGGGTAAGAACACATCAGTTTTCCTGTTTCCTGAATTAGATGCAGAGTTATCTTATTTATCTCCAACCCATTAAAAAAAAACAGACTAGTAGAATTGACAGTAATGACATTCTCCAGTTTGTGCTTTGTCCCTATATGGAGTCAAATACATTTTCATTTATAATCTATTTAGGCAGCACAGTTGCTAGCACTATCTCGTAATGATATGGTCTTTGGTCTGTTCTGTGTTTGTATGTGTTTGAATGCCCCATATTTGAGTGGATTTGCTCCCACACCAAAAGACTGAGTGTTAGATATCAGAAATATATCCCTTAAAAAGCGGGTCGCCCTATAGCTATCCTAGTAGAGTTCTTGCTGCAGCAGCCATGGGTTCGAATCCGACCTGCATTGTCATTCCTCTTTCTTATATATATATATATGTGTATTAACATACATACTGGTTGCTGAGTGCTGTGCTATTACTGCCCTCAGCTCCTAAATAGTCAGAATGGATCAATTGTGAAAAAGGTAATTTAATTTCTGTATGTATTAATAACATGTATTGTACAGCCCCACTGGTAATTGGCATGTCTAAAGGGTCAAAATGCAAATTTGCACTTTGGTTTTGGCTGAAAATGTGTAAATCTGTAACCTGCAGAGATCTGTAAATGTGCCAAATGTCACCATTATTAGCTATTAGAAACAGTCAAGAGTTTATGTTGGGTCCAGACACATAAATCTCCATCTGATTTAGCTGCAGGGATCAGTCATTGTCATTTCGGATCAGGGGTTTTCAGTGGACGTAGATCTGTGTATCATCGGCATAGCAGTTAAAAGTGACTTGAAGCTAAATAATCATTATATTGTCTTGTCCTATGTATTGAAAACGACGTGTCCCCAAATTTGGAGACAAATTCCACTAAGGATTGGTATCAGGGCAGATCCGAGCATATTAGGAAGGATGGGCATTTATCGTCGTTATACAGATACGTTCTTTGCTGTATTTTGTCCTCCTCAGCTTGCTAGTGTTGAGGCAGTGCTCCCCTTTACGGCAGCCAGCTGGTCGCTACCCTCTTGGAGTAAAAATGAATGTGTGAATGTGAAAAATTATACTCCGTATTAAAGGACCAGTGTGTAGGATTCAATGGCACTAACGGTGAAGTTGCAGATTGCTACCATTTGAATACAGCTCAGCCTTCCAAGTGTGAAGGAGAAATACGTTGGCTGCAAAACTTGCAAAAAACGGCCAGTGTGGTTTGTTCATTCTGGGCTACTGTCGAAACATGGCCGTTCAACATGGCGAACTCCATAGAAGAGGA